GAACAATAGCACGGCAGCAGCAGCTGAGGCATTGCTTGATGCCTTTCATCCCCCTCGGGCAGGAGGTGAACTCACATGAACGCACCTCTGAACTCTGGGTCATTGTTGGCCAAGGACCACAACTGTGAGTGGGGTGCGGTGAAGGGAGAGGGGAATGGCTTGGTAAAAGAACGTTACTTTGTCGGACTTTCACACTGGACTGTGAGAAACTGAGGCAAAGGGCACTGCCCAGTGTACTCTGGGGTGGGCGTTTTGCTTATGGTTATATGTCATAATGCTGGGTTCCTTTTCCTTTTTCATTAAAAGTTTTCTTTTCCATACACAGCCTGCTTGCGAGAGGGGAAGTACAGCCTTTTAGAAGCACTCAGGGGTGGTGTGTATTTTTCCACTTTCCCCATCTATAATATGGGGATAATAGCACTTCCCCATCTCACAAGGGTGTTGTGAGCATAAATACTCTAAAGACTGTGAGGTATCAGACACTGTGGTAATGGGGCTACGTGGAGACTGAAGATGTGTACAATGAAACAATGTTTGGTATCCTATTGGGATCCAGGAAGTGGGCAGGCGAAGCTTGGTATCAGTGGGCAAACCAATCAGTTCCATAGACTTGCAAGTAGATGGGATTCTTCTTCAGCTGCACCCTCTGGCACGCCACTGGGTCTCCAAGGATATCACACCACCTATTGAATCAGCAACAGCACTTCCTGCAATACCTGCCAGAAGTGTTTCTTATGAGATTTCCCGTCAAATACAGTCCAGGCCCAACTCTGATTAGGTGGTGAGATCAGATGAGATAACAGCTCACGGGGGGCTGGCATTAGGTCTGAGAAGCTTTGATTTCTAATTGTGGGTATGAGGGTCTATTTCTAATTCAAACAGCAAGCAACTTGCAGCAAGTGAATATTTAGATATTTAGGCTCCTAACTTCCATTGACATCCATGGAAGTTAGGAACCTCAATCACTTTGTGGAACTGGGCCTTACTCACCAAATAGAATATTTTCATGCTCTGTTCTTCTGAAACTGGCAGGAGGTGTGAAAAAAGGGAATTTGGAAAGTCATAGTTGTAGCCAAAATAATTATTGCTCTGGGTTTCCTGGTCACAAGATCGCTTTACCAAAAGGATTAGCCAGTTAGAGTATGTCTACACTGCAATTAGACACCACCGTTGTCCCGTGCCAGCTCACTTGGGCTCTCGGGCTGCGGGGCTGTTTGATTGCAGTGTAAACGTTCAGGCTTGGGCTGCAGCCCCAGTTCAGGGACCCTCCTTCCTCACAGGATGCTAGAAGTGCAGGTTTTTTATTGCAGTGTAGACATACCCTTAGTTGAGTCTCACTTTATTACACAGTGTTAGCTGATTGTCATTGAGAACATCCATTCAGAAGGAGAGAGATATTTAGATATTTGCAGGCTGCTGGGAAGTGAACTATTTCCCTTTCTGTAGGCCCAGACAAGGATTCTACTAAATTATTGCCCTCCCTCATTTCCCAGCGGTGATGGCTTCGTATTATGGTCACACCTACAAGCCTATATAGATAGTTTCTAGATATGCTAGTGAGGTTGCTAAGTGTTATTGCCACCACTTTAGAAATGCAGAAACTGAAGCACAGGGCTTACGTGGCTTGCCCATGGTTACGCACTGTCTATAGTACAGCTGAGAGTAAAACCCAGAACTCCTGTCTTCAAACCAGCTCTCTAACCACTAGACCCAGGGCTTTCCCCTGTGTTGCAGAAATGTTGTTTCTGGAAGATAGATGCCTATATGTTCTGAGGCTATGGCTACACTAGAGAGCTTACAATGGCACAGCTACACCCAGAGGTGGATTTACAGTGAAACACAGGGTGCCCTGGCACAGAGCCCCCAAGGACAGGGGGCCCCAGGGCTGGGCAGCTGCAGGGACAGAAGCTTGCCGGCTCCTGGGGCTCCTGCTGCAGGCTCCGCACCCATCAACAGCCAAGCTCCCACCTCCTCCCCCAAGCATGCTGCGTTCCTGCCCCTCTCCATCCCTCCCAGCGCTTCCCCCGCCACCAAACAGCTGTTTGCCAGAGCTCAGGTCACTCCGGGAGGGAGGGGGAGGAGCGGGGCTGCAGCACACTCGGGGGAGGAGGCGGGGAAGAGGCAGGTGCAGGGCCTTGGGGAAGGAGGTGGAATCGGGGCAGGGCGGAGCAAAGGCGAGCCCCCCCCCACTCCTCCTACACATACCCCCCCCAGCCCCCTGCCCTCCCTGATTCCTGCACCCCCCCCACGTCCCTCCCCCACCCTGAGCACCAAACGGGAGCTCCTGCACCCCCCCCCCACATTCCCACCTGCACCCCTCGCACCAAATGGGAGCTGCCCCAGGTAAGCACCCCAACCTCCTGCCCCAACCCTGAGACCCCTCCTGCATCCTAACTCCTGGCCAGACCCTGCACCCCAACCCCCAGGCCACTCCTGCACCCTAACTCCCTCCCAGACCCTGCACCCCCAGCCCCGTGCCCTCCCTGACTCCTGCACCCCCTCACACATCCCCAGCCACACCCTGAGCCCCCTCCTTCACCCTAGCTCCTGGCCAGACCCCGCACCCCGATGCTTTTTTACATTTTTTTTTTATAAAGTGCTCTTATCCAAAGCACGTTACAATAGTTAGCTAACGGTACAAACAATATTTGGAAAGATCATTAAGTGTTCCGTCGAGACCCTCCGCGATTTTCAAGAGGTCTGTGGAAAAATCAGTTCGACTACAAAAATAATCAAGGTACCTCACTTTATTTTCATTTACTTCCTATTACTTATAGGAGGAGGAGGAAGAAAAAAACAATGAAAAACGGGGGCGGGGGAGGAGATAAGAGAGAATGTTCTTTTTTTTGGCTGGGTCCCAAGGAAGGGTCCCAAAAATGAAGCTGGGCACAGGGCCCTACTAACTCTAAATCCGCCATTGGCTACACTATGCATCCGCACTGCTGTAAGCGCTGTAGTGGAGCTGCTCTACGCTGGCGGGAAAGATCTCCCGTTACCCACAATGAGCAGCGGTAGCTACGCTGGCGGAAGAAGCTCTCCCTCCAACATAGCGCTGCCCACGTTAGCACCTAGGTTTGTGTAGCTTAAGTTGCTCGGGGGGGGCTCATTCACACCCCTGAGCGGCATAAGTTATACCAACATAAGTAGTAGTGTAGACATAGCCTGAGTCACATGCATTCCCACTGAGAGGGACTTTGCTTTCAGTTCAGAAGTACCAAGAGAAGTCTTTTGTCTGTAACGTTCACATCTGTTTGGACTTACTGCAGATTTTGAACCGTTAGCGTTGTACATTTGACAGTGAAATGCTGATATATTGGTTCCCGTGGTGATCCAGAACGGTTAGGTCTGTTATCTTGGCTCTTAGGCTTTGGTGAATTTTCAGAACCCCACAATCTGCCAGAAGACAAGGACCAATTGCACCATACTGACTTTGGGGGCTTTGCAGGCATTTTGCTGAAAACTCATTCCTAGAAAAACGCAGAACTCCAACTAAAGCTCCAGTTTACATTTGATCTGAACAGCCGGAAGAGATGCGCTATTTAACCAACCATTTTAATTGTGTATCTCTCCCCATCAGTCATCCATTCATTACATAACCTGCTTTAGCGCAATATCTTAAAAAAACTTATTCAGTATTTGGAGATGCAGTAACCACCCTTCTGATCTCCTGTTTTCACCACACAACAATTTTTTTAACAAAAAAAAATATATCCAAAGTGTGTCTATCTGTCTGCAATATCAATAGTACAGGATTAAAGGGTGGGCATGAATATAACAGAAACCAATTTTTGGCCTTTGAACCACAGTTTAAAAGTAGACAACACACACTTCTTTTTATAATGCTTTATTCTGAATGGTATAAGGTAAACTAATACTGAACACATGCAGCAGGAAGACCTTAGCCAAAAATTAAACCTACTTACAGTGCTGTTATATTTAGCTTGAAGACCTTGTTCATAAAAAAATATCATTTTTCCATTCTTGCATCAGGAATTAAATATATTAATCTAATCTGTGTTAATGTCTGGATTTCCTTTTTACATATCCCATTAAATGCGGTAGGCTTTAACTACTCCTCTGAAGTCAGAAATGACAGGCAACACAAGCCTGAGACGTGTGGCAGTTACCGCTCCATAGCTAATGTTTGGTGCATTCAGTATTTCCAGTTTTCGTTTTCAGAATATACACAACATAGGCTCTTTATAGCTGGAACTGCCACTGAGCAGTAGTGTAGTCGAGGGTGAACTGAATTTACCTGCTTCTCATTTGGGGAATATGGAGTTCAGTCTAGGTTAATTTACCCACTTTAGGTAAGGTAATATCATTAATTATTTTATTATCTAGCACATTTCTTCCCCTAGATATCGCAGCAGTTTATGACGGTGAATAAGAATTGTTAATTCCCGTATTACCGATGGCAGCCCCAGTCCTCCAATAGACTGTGTAGATACACTGCTCAACCCAAATGGAGTCTCACTGTTCCACTCCAGCACACCAGTGCACAGTCAACCAAAGGATCAGAGCTATAATCCCAAATGTCAAAATACTTATTTATTTACTTTTTTGGAAGTAGGAATACACTTTAAAGGTTTGGGAAGGTTCTGGACACAGCACAAGGTAAATTTATAGAAAACTGAGCCAGCTTTCATTATGAAATTCCAGATCCCTCAGCAATTCCAATTCACCTTCCTCAAGGAAAATGGACTTTGATTTAATTTTCTTTTAGAAAAAGAAATGCATCAGAGAAACATGAATGTTTGTTTGCTGCTGGAGATGGGGTATTTCCACATAAAAGACATGAGATTTCCTGTGTGGTGGTAAATTCCTTATTTTAGGTGAGTGAAACAAAAGGAGTTAAATTGCATCATTTTATATGACTGCTGCATGTGAAAAGTACACAGTGTTGCCTGTTTGATGTATGAACATCTTAGATTACCTTTCAGTGGTGGTACTGAGGGTGCAAAGCTTTACAGAAATAAGAATCGCAACAAATGGATTCTGCTTTTCTCAATATATGCCCTATTTAAGGAGAACAGAATCTGCCAGAAAGAATGATGTTGCGAGTTTTGTTGTGCCTAAACAAGAAGATGAATGGATGGTCAGCTTTAAATTCATCTTTGTGTTGCAGGATCCGATATCCTGGTACGTCTCTCAATTCAGCACCTTCTTCATTTACTTCCAGAGAGACTCTATGGATGATCTGTGACAAAACTATGCCATTAGTCTCAGACATTTCAGAGAAGTCTGCTACATTCTCATTAAAAATATCTGTCATCCCCAAGCTTTCCAGAGCAGGCTTCAGATCGTAATCCCCTTCCATCTTAAATTTGGGAAGAAACACGTTCACTTTGGTATTGGCCATCACGCTGGGATTGGTCCACTGTACTAACGTCTCAGGAGTGAGCAGCTGTTCAAGCTGAAAGAATAAGGCAAGGGAGCATATTAATTGTCAGTTTAAGGGGAAAAAAGACCCTCCCCACTGTTCTCCTCCCTTCAAAAACCAAAGATAAGGGACTTAAACTTGCCCTTGATATATAGTAATTATCATGCCTAAGGGTAAATGGTGCTTTCAGTTCCATTGATAGGTTCCATTGGTAGAACTCTGGTTTAACTCACTGGTGTAGGTTTCTATAGTAACTCCATTAAATGAGTATAATCTGGTCCTTAGCACATTACAAGTACTGTGTGAGTAATCATCACAATAGTCCAGTGAGGTAAGTACCTCAGGGAAATTGGGAAGGACAGGTTAAGTGATTTGCCCAAGGCCACGTAGAAAGTGAAAAGGCAAAGCTGATACGTGAGCCAAGGCCTCTTGATTCCCAAGCCCAGCAGCAAAGGAATTGCTGCCATTTGAACTAGACAACAGACTCAAGCTTCAAAATTCTGATCTGGATCTAGATCAGCTTTGTCAGTGTTTGTTTCCAGATATTTTATTTGGCCCAACGCCTGAGGGGTGTGCAGAGCAGGTGATTTCATTGGAATCCATGTTGAACTTGCATTAAAGGAAGGCTCATGATCTGAACACAACTTCCATGTATAAATGCTAGTACTCACAGAACTGCATGTGCTTATGCTTGTGCTAACACGGTTAGGGCCAGATTCTGAGATCCTCACTCACAGTGAGTAGCACAGAGGTAAGTGGGGCTCCTTGACCCTTAATGTCTGAGCTGTGAATGGAGGTGAACCACATCAATTTATAACTTTATAATAAAATGGCACTAATGTAGTTCATCTTTAGACTATGCTTTTAAAAATTTCTTCCAGTTTGTGTGCAGTTACAATGAAAAAGCAAATTGTTAGAGATAGTCAGGCACCCTCTGCTCAAAATTAGACATTAAAAGCCTTAATTAAGCGTCTCATCTGTATAATAAATCACTAGTACATACCCATTGTCAAATGAGGGAGACTGAGGCATGAAAAGTGAAGTGACTTGTTTCTTTACTTTGAACAAGTTCAGGTCAGAGCTGATAGAGAACCCAATAATCATGACTGTAATGCCCAGACCTAGAAAGATAGTTAGGTTCCTAACAACCCTCTATTTCAACAGAGAGACAAGGTGGGTGAGATAGTATCTTTTATTGGCGACAACTTCTGATGGTGAAAGAGACAAACTTTGAGAACGCTGAGTCAATTCTAAAGCTTGTCTCTCTCACCATAGAAGTTGGTCCAATAACAGATATTACCTCACCCACCTTGTCTCCCTGTCATCCTGGGTCCAACATGGCTACAAATACACTGCAAATTTTAATTTCAGTGAAAGTTAGAAGCCTAAGTACCTTTGTGGATCTGGGCCTAAGTGCTTTGCTATAATCACCAGGCTACACGTACATTAACATGGAAACTAGATCTCTGGGCCAGATTTTTAAAGGTACTTAGGTGCCTAAAGATGCAGTGACGCACCTAGTGGGCTCTACAAAAGCACTTCGTCCTAGACACAGCACTCCAAGTGATTCATTTCCTTTAGCTGAGGTGGAAATACGATTTCACAAACATGACATCCAGTGCAGAGAAGCAGAAGGAGACGATTAACTCCTAAGGAACCAATATCCTGTTCCCTTCTTAGTAACTTGAGAGTAATACAGAAAATATACCTTAGAAGCAGAATTATTGTAAATGGAATGCTTCCCTTGGAAACAACACTTAAACCTTGTCTATTTCTCTTACCTGTTCCAAGCCAGTGGTATCATCCTCAATCTCTTTTGGTAGCAGAATGAGCATGCTTATGTGCTTGTTGAGGCAAGGGAGCTCAAGGATTGCGATTTTTAATTCCTTTACGTAGCCCAAGCAAAATGTAGCTTCCAGGTTCATCATTTGCACTGGTTTCGTTTCAGTCTGTAAAACATACAGGGAACAACTTGGCAGCCCCTGTCTTTCACAAATGGGATGGAAGGAAGGAAAGCGTGTGTGCTTGGATGAGAGTGGTACCTATGCATCATTTCTTTGGATTGGGGTATTTGTTTGCCTTCATATACAGTGAAACCTGTCTGGCCTCATTCCAGGATGACAAACATGGGTGGAAATGGCCTTCTAATAATGGTGGATCAGGATTCTACTTAATAGACTGGGGAACACTTTGGGGAGGTTTCTGAAGACAGGAGGTTGCCTCAGATGGGTGGCCTCTGGTACCAGTTTCACTGTAAATTACAATGTATAACATCTAAAGGGCATTGCAATATCAGTCACCCTAAAGCACTGAAGATATGCCAGTGGCTGAGGCACAACATAATCAGCATGGGGTAGCAAAAAATTAGCAACAACTCTGCTACAAGCGGAAAGCAATAAGAGTGCCCCTGTTTTATAAAGAACCTTACAATTTCCATAAACTGTTTTAGTACTAGTCTGGAAGGAACTTTGGGGATCCAACCATACAATACAACCAAATGTTCCCTGTCATTAACATTTTGACTACTGTCAAACAAAACTATTAACTGATCTTGAGCAACTGATCTGGACCAACATGTCATTGACCCAGTAAGAAAATAACGGTCCACATTACACAAGCCAAGGACATGCTATTTCACTAGATGACATAGTGAAATATTGTGGCCTGAAATGTTCCTAGTTTGTAGATGACCTTCAGCTAGGTGCTCCAAAGCTCTAACATGAAGATGTAGATAGCTTTGCACCATCTTCTTGCAGAGCCCAGACACTGTTATCTCTGCTTTCCCTTTAGAAAACCAGCTTAGTGTCTCCACTCTGATAAAATGGAAATGTTGCTGATGGGTAGGGGGAAGCATTTGTACTGAGGAATGGGCAGGAACTGTGAGTATGCCTTCTTTGGGAAGTGCAACTAGCCTTCACCAGTGCTGTTAACAGTCTCTGGGTTATGATGGAGTCATTGATGTCTCTGGATCACCAGGAGTTAGTTGTAGTGTGTTGTACTTTTTTCAGTCTCTGAGTGGTCCACAGGCCGTGACCATTCTCTTTGACACAAATCCCACCACAGTGATCTACTGTTCTGTAACTTCTAGACTGGATTTCCGTAATGTGAGCTATTTAAGGTTACCTCAAGAGAATCTGAAGTCTTCAGCTAGTGCAGTGATTTGTCTCAAGCTGGGGAGCCATTCTGAGTGTATAACACCAACATTCTGTGCCCTGCACTGGCTACCTCTTTGGTTTAGGGTGCAGTTTCTGGTATTGGTTACAATCTCTGGGGTGCAGTTACCTGTGAGATTGCACTTCTCCCTCGCTCACATAATGGCAGTTAACGGTCACCCTTTCTGTCAATGATACTCTAGTCATAGTGTACTACTGCGGTTCTCAGCCGGGGTCTGGGGCCCCCTGGAGGACTGCAAGCAGGTTTCAGGGGTCCTCCAAGCAGGGCCAGTGTTACATTCACTGAGGCCCTGGGCAGAAAGCCGTGCAGGGCTGAAGCCCAGGGCCCTGAGCCCTGTTACCTGGGGCTGAAGCCAAAGCCTGAGCAACTTAGCTTTGTGGGTCCCCAGGCAATTGCCCTGCTTACTACCCTCTAATGCTGGCCCAGGCTTTTATATGCAGAAAAACAGTTGTCGGGGCTCTGGTGGGCCGTGGAGTTTTTATAGCGTGTTGGGGGCTGGAGGGGGGGCCTCAGAAAGAAAAAGAGTGAGAACACATGGTGCAGTAAACTTCACAGCATAGAGAAAAATATATCTGGTAAGTTTTCTTTAGATCATAGAAACTGATGAGGTGGGGTCTTTGAAACTGAGTCTCTGAAAGGTTTATATAAAACCACCAACCCATTAAAATGTTAACTGGTTTAAGGCACCCAGGCCACAGTAGAGAGCTCCATGACAGCCTAGTAATACTGAAGATTTCTATTTCAATTCTTCCAAACATTTACTTACTTTGAAACAGGGTTATTTAAATGCCGTTTTTAAACATACCTTGTTGATTTTAAAAGGACATTCTTTGATTTGTGCCTCTGGGAACTTCTTCATCCAGTTTGTTACAAAATAAGCTGTATTAACCAGGAGGATCTTAGTCTGGTCATTTATACTCCCCTCATTCAAAATGTTCTCCATTTTACCTGTGCATGTTTTTTAAAAAAGCATGTCATTAATAGAATACAGCCATATTGTTGTTCGAATAGTTGATTACTCTGCCAGATTACAATACTAGGGTTGGCTAGATACTGTACTCACAGATGAGGAAATTTAATTCAAGAGGGAGACATCCTACTTGTGATTTTAGTATTTGTAGCCTAACTCGGAAACTGCACTTCCAAATGATGCAAAATATTTATTTTGTGTTTTATGTGGTGTTGAAATCCAGATGATTTTTCCTATACTGGGTATATTATAATAAATAAATTTCAAAAAGCTATAGAACTTTCATTTTTAGTGAAATAGTTACAGGTGTTTATTTTATTTTTATAGTTGGTTACATTTTTTACAAGGAATATTTTAAGGACTGGAGACCAAATTCATCTTGGGTGTAACTGTCTTGGAAGTACTGGAGGTTAATGAATTTGATCCATTGTGGTTATGGGTAAATAGGAAGTGCTATTATGAGAGAGCTGCAGCCATTGAGACACTAGATACAGAAAGGTAATGGCTAGTGAGCTGCAGCCTTCTATAGCAAGTTTCTTTGAGATACAGTTTGTAATTTTGGGAGCAAAAGGCAAAGTTCAAAGCCAGTTGCTGCTAATTTCAGATTGAGATGGAATCAGATGAATGGAAAAAAGCAAGAAGTGCTGTTTCAGTTATAGTACACTACCGAGTACCGCATGGTATGCTTTAAAGTCATATGCGTGTGGTTTTTGTTTTGTTTTCCAGACACTCTAAAATTTTAGTAATGTCATGAAAGGAACTGGATTGACAGCATTCTAGACTCATAACTTCTCTTTATGCACAGTTTTAGGCACAAAATAGGCAGTACAAGCTACCTGCACAATCCCATCTGTGCCAGTTCTGGAAGAATGAAAACTTGAATCATGTACATCTAATTACATAGTCCTACCACTGGGGTTACTAGTGACCAAGAAATCCTATGAGTGCTCAGTAAATACACAGTGCTATCAAGCTCTGTGCTACCAAACTCAGCAGCAGGCTGGCAAGAGCTGGAAATGCAACCCCCTAAGGAATTCTGCACGCTCTGTCCTGGGACCATTAGTCTCCTGGTCACTGATTCAAATCTGGTATCCATTGGTAGTGTCCAAAATATCATTAACTTCTGACAGCTGTTTGGTGGCCTATTTGATATGAGTAAGTGATCTCAGTCCAATTCTTACATAAAGACATATCCAGATAAGGAAACATCACCACCTTTTGGCACCTTTATGTCAGCGAACGGGCCAAGGAATGAATGGCCTATATGAAATTAATTGAAACCCCCCCTCCCCCTCCAAAATCTGGAATCTGGGGAACATTTGCCATTAGCATATAACTTTAAAGCAGGTCATATATTGGAATAAAATTATTAATACGATCCTTTGAATGTTTGTTTAGGCCAGAATGTGAACCCCTTACGTCAAAGAGCAATTACTCTCAAATTGACCCGTTGAATTCTCACCAGGATAAGGAAGGCTTTCACAATCTAGTCCTTAGTTCAGTTTCACTACTGCATCTTTTTTTGGTCAGAATATATTTAACATCTTCATCTTAAGGATCACACTAAAAAAGCACGTTCCTGTTTCTTTCTTTTCTTTCACTATATATTTATGTCTGAAAATGTTAACAAAAAATGTCACAAGGGAACAGAATTCCCATTTCTCGTCAGAGACGTTAAGTAGGGTCTCCTGGATTTAACTATACTTGCCATCGGTTAGCTCCGAAACAGATTTGTTGATCTGCTGCCTGGTTTCCTCAGTTTTTTCCTTGAAGTCTACTAGTTCCAGTTCAGATGGAAAGGGTCTCTTGGTGGCATTGATAAACTCCTGAAAGATACACAGAGCCAAATACATCCCTGGTGCAATTCTACCACATGGGTTCATTTGACACAGAGAGATCCTGTGAATGTCATCAACTCAGAGGTTCAACAGGAGTCAAGATTCAATTGTATTACATGAGGGAATAAATTGACCTATGGCCCTTAAAAAGTGCCCATTTTACCACAATTTGAGAAGATACAATGACACCACATCCATGGTCTTCCTATTGCAAATGATTGGTAAAAACAGACTATTCACACAATCTACATCCTCAACATCCTGACAATATATTTGAAGAGTTTAATGGATGCTATTAGGTCTCCACTAAAATAAGGCTGAAAAACAGTTTACATGATTATAGCTTTGTTTTCACTGGATTTTAGTTTTCTGAAAAAAAGCTTTTGGGCTGAAATTTTTCATGCTTGTGCTCTGTCCAAAGGAGGTTTGTTTGTTTGTTTGTTTTAAATTTTGAATGAAATCTCTTCAGCCATTTTTGAGTTTTGCGAGTTGAAAAAACAAAAAATCACTTTCTTTTTCTTTTTCTCACACTTGTTTTTTCCCACACAAGTTAAAAAAACAGCTGAGCTTCAAAACCTGATATACGTAATCATAATGTGTGTGTGTGTGTGTGTAAATTAGGGGCAGACTTACACACCCTCTTTTTTTGAAACTTTGGGGTCACGAATTTAAGATCTGAAGAACTTGAGGTTACATAAATCCTTAAACCCAGCATAAATGCCTATTGTGACTTAAAGCCTTTTTACTGTAAAGATTTCAGGTAGTTTAAATATTTATGCAGCTGTAAGGAAGCCGACATTCTTATCCTGATGTAAATGTTTAAGTTAGCGGAAAAGGTTCTTAACCATCTTAATTATATGAGATTATTCTAAGAGTTGATGCTGCCATAATGATTTTCCTTTGTAAAAAAATCTGGCACATTAAATGCAAATAAACCCTGTTAATGCAAAGTTAATTGCACAGTGGAAGTCTCCAAAAATCAGGAAATGCCTAAGTTAAGGTTCCCGATGTAATGTTGATGTACCAGTATTGCATGTAGTAATTCAGCTCCTGTTTGTCTGGATAAACGTGTTAATATATATATAAATATATAGCCGTTCATCATAAAAGACTTAGCATAAAACCACACAGGATGTGCAATGCAGAAGTGTTAACGTTGCTACTAGAAACTTCATTTTTTCATTTTCTTTTTTTGTTTTTTAACTTTTTTTAAAGATAAAATTACAATAAAACTTTAACATTCTACCTTGTACATTACTTAATTGATGGTGTTTCTTATTTGACACAATGTTTCCATCTAATAACAAATATTACTACTAAACAAATAGGGAGCAGATACAATAATACTTATATAGCACGCAGCTTATAGGCAATTTTATTTATTTTTTTACAATACTGTAATTCTATAATGTATGCCTATTTAATATCATAACACTATAGCTCTTCCTGGTGACCCTAAAAATTTAATGGTCCTCCGTGTGGTGACCCTTAATAGGAGTCAACAGGTGATACAGATCTAACAAAGTCTAATATACCCTCTAAAGAGTATATCACAAGAGATTTTTAGTTAGCTTCCACTAACCACTCAATACTTTAAAATAAAACGTAAGCATGTCTTGTACTTGAAAACTTCAAGCCTGATATTAGGGAAAATAAATTGTAATTGGTGGAAGCTATAGAGTAATTGTTTGGTCTTCTTTTTCATAATTTAAGTGACACTCACTTGATATCAAGTCAGTTTCCAGATGTGAGTAAAAAATAGTTTCAGGTAACAGACTGCCCCTGGCTCCCCATTCTAATTATTGTGGTTTTAAAATCACAAGGAAAATGACCCAAAAGGAAAACGTGAAACTGATTCTTTAGGGGAAACAGTGAAATTGACACTACACAGAATCCTGTTAAATGTTCAGCCTGGAAAAACAGAGAAATAGATTTGTAACTATCTTTAGGTGATTACAGTCTCCAAGGTCAGTGGTTCTCAAGCAGGGGTCTGAGGCCCCCTGCGGGGCTGCAAGCAGGTTTCTGGGGGTCCTCTAAGCAGGACTAACATTAGATTCACTGGGGCCCAAGGCAGAAAGCCAAAGCCCCACCACATGGGGCTGAAGCCCAGGGCCCTGAGACCTGCCACCCGGGGCTGAAGCTGAAGCCTGAGCAATGTAGTTTCACTGGGGCTCCTGTGCTGTGGGCAGAAAACCATTTGTTGTGGCACAGGTGGGCTGTGGAGTTTTTATAGCATGTTGGGGGGGACTCAGAAAGAAAAAGGTTGAGAACCCATGTCCTAGGTAAAACAATTTCAGACAGTAACATTTTAAAGCTGATTAATAGTGTTGCTATGTTGTGCAGGGTCTTCAAAACACAGAAAAGTCATTTATGTTTGATTGGAAAGGGAGACCCAGGGGAAGGGGAAATTTTTGATGTAATCATATATTTAAAGACTATCATAATGATTGTGCACAACGAAGCAGAGTTAAGGCAGCATGGGCAACTTTAATTCTGGCATTTTGTCATTTCTGAGTGCTTGACTTTGTAACTTTATTTTTTATTTCAACAGTCCATGCTAATGTATAGCTAGACAGAAATTAGTAAACTACCATTATATCAATTTTAAGTAAGGGGGCTTGCTTTCTAAAGTTACTACAATAGCATGGATAGGGAGAGATTTTTGATTATTAATAACTTGTTTAATGTCAACAGTAGGCTAGGCATTTTGATACGTTGGCTTGATTAAAATTTTTTTTAGAAAGAAATACAGTTTAAGGGATAAAGACATTTTAATTCTGAGGCCAATACAGTAACATCCAAACAGAGACAGTCTATTATGTTAAAATAACCATAAGGTCTGTATGGCCAGTCAATACACTGGCCAAGCAGCCTATCAAATGTATTCCTTAACTACTTACCGTGGTAGGGTTAAGAGACTTTTCTACATAGAGCCGTTTGACCATTTTCAGTGAATAGAAAGAGCTGAGTTTGGAAACATCAGACGTTACTGTTTGGAACCCAAACAAAACATCTTTGACATCTTCTAAATGGAGTGCCTGTTAATGAACATGTTAAGATATTATGCGTCTTTCTTGGCTTAAAACTTCTAGCTGTTCAGTAATAAACAGTACTAGTATGTGGCCACTGTCATTGCTCCTTATATTTATAATGGTAACAAAGCTTCTTTCTCCCTTTATAAGCCCTGTTTGCAAATCTCACATAAAGCTAAAGTCCTGATCCTGCAACGTTATTTGTGGAAGTAGTCCCACTGAAATCAATATGACTAGTCATGCAAGTGATGCTAATCACATTTGTTTTTTCAGCATTGGGCTGTCACTGTGTCCACAAATGCCAGTCTCTCCAAAAAAACTTTCAGTAACCTCTTGTAGCTTGAGAAAACATCATTCTTAGGATCAGGACAGCTGAAACTTTTTAAACATTTGAAGCAAATTACAGAAGGTTTATTGAATTATAACTTTAAGGTAAGGAAATATCAGTAGTTCAAACTTCTTATGCATTTACACCTCCCAAAGAATTAGTGAACAGGAAAGAGCAGTTTTTATACAACACAATGGTATATAAACTATTTGGGGGTGGAGGGGGAGCAGAAGCAGAATTGCTTAAAGAGTAATCAGATGCCAGCAGCTACAGTGACATGAAAAATACAGCTGACAATTGGGTATCTAACTCAGAAATGCAAAGCCCAAGCATTCAAAAATCATGAGTCAGGTTCCAAAGGGTCATGAGATTTAAAAAAAAAAAAAAAAAAGAAGTGGATTCTTTTTGTCTTCTGGTTTCTAAGCCTTTCAGGTACACTCCGGTCATGTTTTTATGCTTTTCTCAGCAACTATGGGGGCTAGAAACTTTCTTTTTAATTAAGCAGTGGGTTTCTTTACTAATCGCTTTCTCTAAGAGCCAGGGCTTTAAGAAAATCATCAAATATTACAAAAGTCACAATAAGAAAAGGAGTACTTGTGGCACCTTAGAGACTAACCAATTTATTTGAGCATGAGCTTTCGTGAGCTACAGCTCACTTCATCAGATGTTTACCGTGGAAACTGCAGCAGACTTTATATACACACAGAAATCATGAAACAATACCTCCTCCCACCCCACTGTCCTGCTGGTAATAGCTTATCTAAAGTGATCAACAGGTGGGCCATTTCCAGCACAAAACCTGGATTTGTGCTGGAAATGGCCCACCTGTTGATCACTTTAGATAAGCTATTACCAGCAGGACAGTGGGGTGGGAGGAGGTATTGTTTCATGATTTCTGTGTGTATATAAAGTCTGCTGCAGTTTCCACGGTAAACATCTGATGAAGTGAGCTGTAGCTCACGAAAGCTCATGCTCAAATAAATTGGTTAGTCTCTAAGGTGCCACAAGTACTCCTTTTCTTTTTGCGAATACAGACTAACACGGCTGTTCCTCTGAAAAAAGTCACAATGAAATCCTGAGAATTGACGATCCTGCTACCCCTTTAAATGTAATTGCTGATTTTGCTTTTGGACAGCGGGAGGAGAATTTCTAGCAGTTTCAATTTGAAGATCGCCTTCTAAATGTAAACTAATCAATAGCATTAAGTCTAGTAAGGAATCTATTTGTCAAAAAACATTTCCTGAATCTTTTTTTGTTGTCTGTATTGCTATAGACATACTTGTTGAGAGGTATTTTAAAATAAATTACCAACTGAAACTGGCATGATTATTGTGTTATTTTGACAAATAAAATATGCAGAATTTTGCAGAATTTTAAAATATTGTGCACAGAATTTTTATATTTTTGGTGCAAAATTTTCAATTTGGGGCACAAAATTCCCCCAGGAGTAAACCCTGGTCTGAAAGAGATGCAAGCCTTGGTGCAATAGACCATGGTATCACTTAAACCATGCGCTTTCCCCCACATACACATGTTGGAAGAGCTTTTACTGTATACTATTACCTAGCAGGGGAGTTCAACTTTAAAAAGAATAAGTAAATACATAGTCTATAATGGCCAGTTGCATAATTTTATACCTAAAAATGGAACTAGAGGCTCACCTTTATCATTTGGGCTGCGGTGTCACCTTTGGTAGCTTTATACGCCAGAGCAAGAGAAGTTGAAGTACACAGTGGAGCAAAAACAATATTGGCTGTTTTGTCCTTCTCACACAATTTTTTGAACATATCAACTGCAAAGGCAGTGTTTGCTAGACGCAGAGCATCGATAGCCATTTTCCTGAAACAGAAAAAAGGAAAAAAAAGACCAAGGTAACTAAAAAATCTACCACTTGCTCATGCTGTAAAGATTTCTGGGGTGCAACACTGATTTGTTCATCACAACAGCAGCGGGAAGCGGGGAAGTTTGGTCAGATCAAGATAAAACAGTGCATGTTGAGGCACAAAGGGCCAAATCTGTATTTAATCTATTTTTGATGTCTACCATTAAACTACATAGATTTAAAAGGTACCTCTCCTGTGCCCTAGGTACCCCTGACCTGAAACACCCCTTTATTTGTTTCATTGACCTTCGTGTCTCTTGGTTCACAATGAACTGTTCCATCAAAGCCTACGATGAATTTTTGTGCATGTCCATCTTCTAGAGCAGAAGTTCCCATTCCCAGATTGTGACTGGTGGTCCTCACACTAGTGCTCAGCAAAGAGCAGGCTAGTCCTGTAGGCTGGGAGTTTCAAAGAAGGCTAAATGAGTTAAGTGCATTTTGTATCCTTTTGAGACTAAATCCCACTGAAATTCAATGGGAGTCGGGTACCAAACTCCCTTAGGTTCCTATGGAAATCCCAGCTAGGGTGCTGACTTATCATTTCCAACTGTTTACATTGCAATTGCTTTCCTAAGATTTTTATATGTAAGCAATTACTGTCATTGCCACAGGGATGTTTAGGTGATCTGTGAAATCAGGAAGGGATTGTCCATGAGACAATCTTTGTATTAAAATGTGGTCCTTGCTATGAAGGTGTTTGGGAACATTTTGATCTTGTAGACTGTCAAGTTATTGGGAACAGATTTGGGCCAAATTCAGCCCTTGTGTAAGAAGGTGTACCTCAGGTGTACTATAGTCAATGAGCCAAATTTGATTAGTAGGATTTAAGCGTTCCTCTGGATTTACAGAAGAATATGGCCCATTGGTTTAGTTAATTTGGGCCAGTTCTGTCCCCAGTACTATGATGTCTAGAAGATGGATCTTAGCTGTGAGAGTGCTGTTACCAGAAAAGAGAGCAAAATTATAACAAAAATTTGTCATGTAGGGCTGTTAAAAACATAAGTGAATCCAGACAATCTCATATTTTTTTATATTTTCCTCCAAGTTAAATTCTAGGTTCAGATCCTGAAGATCCACATCCAGAATTTTTCCCCCTTAACATGAAAGGGAGAAAGTTACTTTTGTAAGAACCTTTAGGTTTTCTCTAAGTTTCAGTGAACCTTTCACAGTCTATTTACTTCCATTTGAGATGGGCTTTTTACTTGACTAGCTACTTAATCTTCTGCTGCATTCTCAAACATTTACTAAGCTATTTTACATCTCTGTCATCATAACCAGAAAAGATCCCATTAGGGTTGCCAACTTTCTAATCGCACAAAACCGAACACCCCTGCCCTGCCCTTCTCTGAGGCTCCACCCCCACATTCACTCCATTCCCCCCTCCTTCCATCGCTTGCTCTCCTCCATCCTCACTCACTTTCACCGGGTTGGGAAAAAGGGGTTGGTGTGCAGGAGGTTGTGAGGGCTCCGGCTAGGGGTACAGGCTCTGGGGTGGGGCTGGGGATGCAGGAAGTGTCTCCGGGCTGGGGCTGAGGAGATCAGAGTGTGGGAGGGGGCTCAGAGCTGGGGCAGGGGGTTGGGGTGCGGGAGGACCTGTGGGCTCCAGCTGGAGGTGTGGGCTCTGGGGTGGGGCTGGGGATGAAGGGTTTGGGGTACAGGAGAGAACTCAGGGCTGGGGCGGGGGTTGAGGTGCAGGAGGGGTTGCAGGGTCTGAGAGGGAGTTTGGGTGCAGGAAGGGGTTCTGACCTGGGGCAGGAGGTTGGGGTGTGGGCTCTGGCCGGGCGGCGCTTACCTCAGGAGTCTCCCAGTCAGCGGCTCAGTGGGGCTGAGGCAGGCTCCCTGCCCACCCTGGCTCCACGCGGCTCCTGGAAGCGGATGGCATGTCCCTGCAGCCCCTAGATGGAGGGACCAGGGAGCTCTGCATACTGCCCATGCCCACAGGCACTATCCCCGTAGCTCCCATTGGCTGCAGTCCCGGCCAATAGGAGCTGTGGAGTCAGCGCTCTGGGCAGGGTTAGCGCATGGAGTTAGCGCAGGCCACCCCTGCGTCTAGGGGCTGCAGGAACATGCTGGCTGCTTCCAGGAGCTGCGTGAAGCCAGGGCAGACATGGAGCCTGCCTTAGCCCCGCTGCGATGCCAACTGGACTTTTAACGGCTGTGCTGACCAGAGCTACCAGGGTCCCTTTTCAATTGGGCATTCCACTTGAAAACCAGACACCTGGCAACCCTAATCCCAGTGGATACAAGCAGCAGAGTATATTGGAACTGCAATAAGAACCACTAGCCATGTGGACAATGGACTGTCTGTAATCAGGTACCTATGCAATATTGCATGTAGCAAATTCTTTTTTTTTTTTTTGCACATTGTGAAAGAATTTGTACACACTTGCCTCCATTTACATAGTAAGTGCAAAGACTTCTGACTGTAAATTCTAACATCTGTATGCACAAACTATGTAGGTGTGGTGTGCACGCACATTGCTGAGAGATGCTGCATAGAGGACCTGTTGAAAATGTGGCCCTTGCTGTTTAGTAGAGACTTCTAAAATAAACAATAGTATTTGTAAATTTTATGGGAATATATATATGTGCATATTAGTGTCTCCTGTACATTAGAATTAATTTGTCATCTTAATAGTCAAGGTTTTTTTATTAGAGAGGGCCTTTTATAAGAAAAATAGCTTTGATTTCTTTTTAATTAACTTCTGTATGTAATTCTAGATTCACTTTTGTAAAGCATTTGGAGATATCTTTAGTCTATAAAAGACACTATGTAAAAAGATTATTGAAATGTATTGCACAATTTAATAATATGAAGCAACCAAATGGCATCATACCAGGTCCCTGTTTAAAAAACACACCTAATTTATACTGCATTCTTGCAAGGTTTTCTCAGCGTCAGTGATTATTGGCAATGGATTAATTTCCTTGCAAGATGCACCTGTTTCCCAAAAACCTTTCAAAGTATACCAAATGCTTTGGTAAACATATGCCAAGAGTGTTCTATCACATTTTTACCTCAGCTGTATGCCACATTGTGGTGTGCATAGCGAGGCATTGGAAACATGCCTTATGCTTTGTGAGGCATAAGGCAGAGAGCCATGTGTCTGCTACCACCCAAGAACTGCAACCAAATCTATGCCACACACTCAGGCCCACAGATAGGCATGGCTTATTCCTAATAGAGTATAGCTCATTAATTTTACATTTTGTATTGAGCTCTTACATAAACGTATTTTTAAATTTTGAGACGCAAAGGTTATGCAGTGTATCCTTCCATTGTGAGAAAAGCATTCAGAGAAAATAGCAGAGAAAAGAGAAAAGGAAAGAGAAAAGCACTTATTGTTTTGACTTATTTGCTTTTAAGTTTCTCTATCTTTTTTCCTTTCCCTGGACTACAGTAACTCCTCACTTAACATTGTCCGGTTAACGCTGTTTCATTGTTACATTGCTGATCAATTAGGGAACATACTCATTTAAAGTTGTGCAATGCTCCCTTATAACGTCCTCTGGTAGCTGCCTGCTTTGTCCACTGCTTGCAGGATACTCTGGAAGAGCAGCCCCTCCTCATGGGGATTAGAACCGGGGGGAGGGGGCAGCACCCCTACATCAGCTCCCCTAAATTCCCTGTAAAGTATGTGGCTCAGCGGCTGCTCAGCAGCAATTCAGGTGGTCCTCCCCCCACTGCCGTGCTGCTCCTGACCTGCCCTCTGCCTTGGAGCTGCTCCCCAGAGCTTCCTGCTTGCTGGGGGGCAGGAAGGGGAGGGGTGCTGATGTCAGGATGTCCCCCGCCCCCCACTCCGTACCCCAGAACGAGGGGAGGGGGAGCTTGCAGGAAGCTGTTGCTTCCTGTCTGAACTGCCTGATCTGCTTAAAAGGGCAACATACTTGAAATGCGGTCAGCGTACTTAAAGGGGTAATGCACGTCTCTCTCTCTCTCTCACTCATGCACGCACCCCCCCAGCACTTTGGAAAGTCAGTGTCTGTGCAGCCGTGCATGTGCTGTCAGGAGGAGGGTGTGGTGCGCTCCAGCTGGGTAGCGTGGGCTCATCATCATGTTCAGTTTTTGCAGGGAAGTGTTTGTAGCTACTGCCCTGCATCTATTGTGTTTCGTCCCTCCTACCTCAGTCCATGCTGCCTTGTAGAGTGTGAGGCTACATTAACAACAGCATATTAACCCTTGAGGGCTCAGCTGAGTGCTAGTTCATCATGTAGCAGAAAGGCATTCCCTGGGAAATATCCCACCCTCTGACTTCACCACCTCAACCAAGCTCTACAATCATTCATTGCTGTGTACAATATTAAACTGTTTGTTTAAAATTGTTTAAAACTTATGCTGTATATGTATATAATGTCTTTTGTCTGGCAAAAAAAGTTTCCCTGGAACCTAACCCCCACTATTTACATTAATTCTTATGGGGAAATTGGATTCGCTCCACATCATTTTGCATAAAGTCACATTTTTCAGGAACATAACTACAACGTTAAGTGAAGAGTTACTTATTTAAATTTCTTCTCCATACCCCAAAAGCCAGGCTGACCTTTCAGTAGTAGTTTAGGGCTCAACAGCCACTTTAAACAAAACATGAAATATAGAACAGTTACAAGAGACAGGGAGGAAAGAACAGGTGAAAACTGACCTTTTATTTCTCCTAGAGTCTCTTTCTCTCTTATGCACTTGCTAGTTACACACATTCACTTTTATGTGTGTGCATATATGTAAAATATTACATACCCACACTCCTTCCCAAGCAGCCTGCATTATTACATACACGCCTCCCCCACCACCAGCACACACATTTTAACTCGTTTCCCCACCCTTCTAGTATAATGAAGGTAAGGATTATTTTGTTTCGTTTTCAATAATGTGGTCCCAGCCATGTGCTAATGGGAATTGGTGTACAAGTGTGACATCATCAAAAAGACAATGGACAATTGGCTTCCTTGGCAAGACTTAACAAAATGTAGAATGAAATGTGCAACTTATCTGAAAGATATTCTTCTTAAATGCTAAACTATTCACCAGAAGAATAGAATATTACACCTGAATTTGGTCCTTCCAGATTGTAACTAAAAGATTCTACAAAGCCATAATAGAATTATTATTCTCATACTTAATGCAAATCATTCTACTGTGGAAATGCATGTGAGTTAAGTGTCTTACTTGGTTTCCAGAGAGTAAGAGTACGAAAATTTTGCTAAATTGAGTGAAACTCTTCTTCCTTATTCCAATAAAAAGCTGCAACACAATGACTTTGAAATCCTTCCCTTCCATCTCTTTTGCTAAGTCCGATAGTGTTAGAGAAACATGAATGGATATGACCAAAGATTCACGCTTCTTTTGTAATCAAGTGCATTCCTTACTGAAAATTGAAAGTATTGCATGAAGAACCTTTCATTGTATTGTATATTGATCCAATAATTAGTCCTATTTGAGAGGCTGTTTGCCAAATGATTCTATTTTGGGGATGATAAACTACTCGACATTTATAATTTCTTTTTTCTAGTGATCTGATTGCCATCAGTAAAACATAGAATGTTTGTTTCAAAAGGCTTTAGTGTCATCATTTTCCCTAAGACACTGTATTGGGATTGGAAGAATAGTGCAAAATCCATCATTTTTTTCACCTGCATGTATCAAAGCTTGTTGATGTGGGTTATAAACCAAAAGGGTTTTCATCTGGTTCTGTTCTTTCTGGTAGTGTATTACTCTTCTTTGGAATTTCTAGGGCAAGCAGAAATCACAGATAGTCTTCACTAGAGATAGGTTTATGATGCCCTAGGAAGAAGTTGGAGATTATGACGGAATGACATCAGGGAAGGCACAGAGCATATACAGTGTCTCACTTGATCTCCTAGTTGGTGGGCAAGATCTTTCCTGGATGAATGATAGTTAGCCAAGGAGTGGCTGAGTTGGGCAGTGTGTCTGCAGACAAACCTCCTTGGCTGATAGCTCTTGAAAATGGAGCCAGGAAAAAAGGCTGACCCCAACCCTTCCTTCTGGCATTTGGAGTGAAGGGGAAGAGGAAAAAGCCCCCAGCAATACCCTTTTCCCCACAAGGGTGGGGTTTTATTTGTCTTTTTGAAAGTGCAGGAATCTATTCCTGATGTCCCCGTCTCTCCCCCCCCCCACCCCAAACTCCCACTGGAGCCGTGCAAGTGTTACTCAGCATTAGGGTTGAGCTAGTTCTTACTTCCTGAGCATCCCCACTGGGAGGAAGCAAAAGGCACTTTCATTCTGGTGACACCCATCACACTCTCTTGTCTGCACTAATTGGGGTGGATGAATGAGTTTGTAAAATTACGCAGCCTGAACTTCACCCTAAACCTTGAGCCAGATAAAATTCAAATGTTATGGAAGGTTTGGATCAGTCTGGATAAACATCTGTGATCAAATCAGAACAGCTGGCCCACCACAAATCTTTAAACCTAAAGTACTGTGGTGGCCTACAGGAGTCAAAGACACACATGATAGGCTTCCTCTGAGTCATGGAATCCCAGCATACCAGATCTGAAGACAGTAATTAGTCCATGTCCAAGAGAGACTGGGAGATCTGCTGAGGCCTTACCATCCCCCACACCCAACTGAGCTGGTAGACTGTTAGCAAAGATTATGATCCCTATTGATGGTAGGACATGCCTTGGATCCACACAGAGATTAGAGAAAATACAGAAGAAATATTACCCTGTGTCCAGATTGGACTGTTCAATCTATTGATCTTTTGTATTCAGAGGGAAGGGATCAAGATGGAGGAACAAGTGAGGGAGGGAAAAGATGGGATCAGAAGAAAATAATCCATCTGGGTCAAAAAGAAGGCAGAAGAATGTGAATCAGAGAAGCAGGGAGGCTAAAGACTTCAAAGTGAGGAAAAGCTTAAGGTAACCATTCAAAGTCTATATTATCTTCCTTAATAAAATCATTTTGGCATCACACAGAACCAGCTTCAAACTATATCCATACCTTCAGATCATTGGTTTTAAATATCCTTTCACACGGAGCAGCCATGGTCAGATTCTGGATGAATGAGGTTCTCCTATCAGAGATGTATGATATTTAGAGGCTCTTGACTTGATATCTAATGTTTGAAAGAAAGCTACTGTATTAAATATTATGGAATATCAGGGCCCTTTAAAGGTTGGAAAGCCTTGGGCCATGTCCCTCATTTCCCTGCCATTAAAGCCTTGGGAACAGGAACAGGAATAGCTAAAGAGAGGAGGTTTGGGACTTCTACTGAAGGAAAGCCCATTAGCAGACCTAGAAAGACTATACTGGTGCATTTCTAAAAGAAGCAAACTGTAGAGAGACCCAACTGTTGAGCCATTAATCACAGGGAGGAGTCAAGAAAAAATTGAATGGGGATTAAAAAAACTGCAGCATAGACTCCTGCTGCGTCCTTCCTTCCTCACTCTACGGAAATAATAGGTCAGCATCTGTACAGCTGCCCAAGGCATAGTGGCATCTTTTAAGCACAGTTAGCTTGTGACCCTGCATTTGATTTAAAAAAAAAAAACTGGTAGGACAAGACGTTATAGAAAAGCTTCAAATACCAAAAATAACTGGGAGGTTTTAGAACAAGTTTGAGGACTCCTGACAGAAAGGAGTTTCTTGGTGCAATACATAGTTTTAACTTCATTCCTGAATGCAACAAAAATCTTCACAGATAGTAGAGAAAAAGCAAGCCTAATCAGAGACCTACACGTAGCATACCCTATCACAATAGATAATAATCAGGAGAATATTGATATTCATGTTGAGACCTGCATGGTTCAGAGGACTGGTAATATGATAGGAAGCTCTTAATCTCTGCATCTCCCGTTTTGAATCCAGCTGAATCAGACTCAGCAGTAACCAGTGTTGTGAAAGTGCTTTGTGGGAAATTACTTTGGTCTCAGGCCAGTTTCTAAAAGACAGTAATCTACAATACAATAACTACCAAATAGACATACTTTTTCGGCAGTCTAAGTAGAGGAGAAGCAGTTAAATCAGCTATGGAGAAGGACCATCTATTCTGAGAAGCAGTTCCCCGAAAGAAGCATAGGGCGCCCTTGTGTGGGGTAGTGGGTGGAACCCTGTGTTGCTGCTATCTACACAATCCTGGGAATAATGATTGGACTTGAATTTCTGGAGCTGTCAATATGACCAATATGTCCACTTCAAGGCTGAAACGGAATGGAAGTTTTCATTGAGCAGAGTAAATAGTGTCAACCTCCCATGTCCATGCTTGATGTGTAGGACACTGACCTTTAAAACGAAAATGGGCTCAATTCAACCCTTAAAGAAGAAAGGTATCAAAGAACTAGAAGGATTTTGGGTGTCCTTTTTAAAAGAAGAAGAAAATAAAACTAGTTCTCCTATTGGCAGATCATCCAGTGATGTATAAAGGAGAACACGTGAAAGATATGATCTCCTCTGAACTGTCATTTCTTTAAAAGTGCAGGCCTGCTCTGTTGACTTCAGTGGGAGCAAAGAGTTTTACACTGATTTTATTGGAAGAAGGATAAGGTCCTGTGTCAGGAGATATGAAAGAGAAAGCAACTTTGGGAAAAGGAGACAAATTGAACTAAAAAATTTACTGTGCCTAGTACATATGGAGTGAATTAAGGAGACTAAACAGCCAGGTTGAAAATCAAAATGGTTATTAGATTAACGTCCCAGCCCCACAGCGCAACCTAGTCAGGATTAGTCATAGTACACAGAAAGCAGAGCAGAGTGTACACACCCATATAGAAATTGACAGGAAAATTCCTTCTGCAGCAGAGGCTCTTACAACAATCTAATAGTCTAAATCCCAAAACACACCTGAAGGGTGCCTTGACCACGTAATACACAATCAGCCTGTTGTAACACAGGGAAAGTAATTTCTGCAACAGAATGTATGAAGATTTTAATCATTCCTACTCTTTTCAACCACGGCTACCTGATCTTATTCACTATTTACGATACACCCTTTCAGTGGAAAGGAAGGTAACTTAGGGAAAGCAATTGGCTTTGGATGGAACTGAAAAGCTGTACTGAATGAAACAAAAGAAATACATGCCACAGTTTAAAATATTATTTTTTTCTTACTGGCCTTTCTATCCCACTTACTGATATTTTACAACAGATATTAGTTAAAGGTGAGTAAACAATTTTGATCTGCACTTACCTTGCTAGGCAATAATCCTGGTAAAATGAAGAGACAATTAAATCGGCACAGCAGAAAGAACTAAGTGTTTGTGGTGCCACCCCACAGAGCAGAAAGAATCTATTAACTCACCTGACAAGTAATGCCACTCCCATTTTCCCAATCTTAATTTGTGCATAGACTCTCTCTCTCTTTTTTTCCCCTTAATAATCCTTCTTGGCAACTCACACATAGTAGGAAAATAATGATTCAGACTGGTGCTGCTTCTCATAACTGACAACATGCTCCAGCAGGCAACAGCAGTCTTTGGATGTTGCCTTCAGATTACAAGAGCACTGGAGTGGGGGGAAGAGTCTAAAAGATAGAAAATAGGAGCGAATGAGCAATTAAAAGATCTTCTTATCAAAACCAGTGCTCCAGGATACATGTAAACTCATGCCACTTTGGAAAATGACACACAGAAAAATAAGCAAATTACATGTGTGCATATGGCCACTTTAAATCCTTTCCTTTTTTTAGCTCCCAAGTAATGTTTCACTATTTTAGATTGGCCCCTCGGTGCATTTGACTTTCTTCTTAAAAAGCACATGGCCAGATTGGGATTGGTCTCCGTGCAGGTGCATAGGGGAGAGAACCAGTTGCACGCCTCTTCTTACACCTATAGCATAAGGGCTTACTGAAACTAGACCATACTCTTATGAATGCAAGGACTGCACTGCCCACTGGGACACTAGTTACTCAGGAGGCAAAGCCTGAGTCCCTTTCTCCCACACCTTTGCAATGGCCAGCAGCTCTAGCTGCCTGGAGAGGGGAGCATATGCACCTGTGCTTCCCAGGAGCTCCTGGATGCATCATGCATTTCTGTGGTACAATGTCTAAGCTTCTTTTGAGGCAGTAGAGTTCCACATCACCTCCAGCGTAGGCTAGTACCTTAATAGCACAATGTGACCATATGTACTGGGACCATTGGGTGCTATTGCAATAGAAAAAATGATTACTAAAAACAATCATTAAAGTCTATTTTCAGACTTGAAACTCTGACATTTAGAGTTGTCTAAAGGGAAGGAATAGGAAACATGAGAACTTCTTTCCATTCACTTCAAATGTTATACGTACTCAGACACAATCGGAATTTGAAAGCCGAGAGGAACATTATGAAGCTGCAGTTTCTCATTTCATTTTTCATATCGCTTCGATTAACAGCCTACACTGTGAACTCCTAATCAGCAATACTTGCTCCCAAAGAGGCTCTTTGAACAAACCCTCCAAATGAAATCCTGTTGAATTCCATAAAGTGACAAGGGATTTGTTTTCAGTCTCTTACCCAGAGATTGAAAAGTAAAGTGTTTTCACTTTGCAATAATAGGTGACTTCATAACAGAGAAAATAGTAGTGTGTTTAAAGAAGCTAATTAAAAGGTCCAGCAAGTCAAACATGCTGTATGAAGCTATGCAATCTTTGCTTTTGTTTTCCACTTGTGTGAAGACAACAGCCATTTTGCTCTCAGACTTGTTGCAGCACCCACAAACATATGTGTGCTCTCTCAAAGTGTTGCTTCTTTTCTTCTTATTCCTAATGTAAAATAAAAGGCATTCTGACTGCAAATATATTTGCTCTGTGTGGATGGAAAAAGGTAGCAAACACTTAATGCATTATCATAAATTAAAGACAACAGCACCCCAGTACAAAAATATACAATCTCCGTAGTAAACTTGGTGATCTAGCCAAGTATAGTATCATTATGTATCTATTTGTAGTTTCCATTGGAGAAATTATTGCAAATTTAGAATATAGTCTTGCCTGCTGCACACAGAAGGTACTGGGTTCCACTCAGAGAGTGCACAAGTGATCAAAGGCCAAAGCTTGCAGTCTTTATTAAGACAAAACTTCCAAAGACTATAGAATTTGGTCCATTTTGAAGGAGTTTGGAAGCTTCCAGGATGAGAGGCTCCATGAACCATGTCTTGATTCCATTGAAATCAACAGCAAAACTCTCATCCACGTCAAAACCCTGGCAAAACCCTCTAAAGTTAGCAGAATCAAGACATAAGTTATTTAGCATACGTTTAATAATAAGGAGGAATTTACTATGTTTGCAATTACCATGATACCAACCGGCTGTTCTGGAATTATGGTGCCTGTGAATCTAGAGATGTAATCATATGACACTAGTACTGATATCACACGGGTTAGGTGGCATATCCCACTCCCCCTCCTATGGACATGCAGAGCTTTCATGATGTGAGTGTTAATGCTGGCCCGGCATTGAAATTCTGGCACCTTCATATTAACAATACGTGGTTTCGGGAGCAGGTTTGAATAGCCTTAAATGTTGCTCTGTCAGGAAGACGGGGAAAAAGCAAAAGAAACTAGCATCCAGTCTTTACTTGATCTTTGCAGGAGACACCAACTAAAACTTGCTGGCTCTTTCTTAGCAAATTTTCTTACCCTGTTGACTGAATGGTTAGTTCTACTAACTTCTACAAGTACCACAGGCCATATCTAGCCTTCATTCAATTACTTTTGTTCAATTTACTCTAAGCACTTACAGGACATGGAGATTCTGACCTGAATCCCCCATGTTATGTTAAAAATAAATAGATTCCAAACAGTTTTTTTTACTAACAATGTAATAACCAATATCTTCCCTGTCACGAATGAGAGAGAGATAGAGAGAAAGAGAGAGAGAGAGAGGTTAGATAAGGTAATATCTTTTATTGGACCAACCTCTGTTGGTGGAAGGCACAAGCTTTTGAGTTGCACAGAGTTCTTCTTCAGGTCTGGGGAAAGAAACCAGTCTGAGCTGCATACAAGTTGGGACAACCCCATCATGCTTAACAATCTATCCCAACTTGTATTTAGCTCAGATACTCTGTTTTCCTTCCCTCAGCCTGAAGAAGAACTCTGTGAAGTTTGAAAGCTAGTACCTTCCACCAACAGAGGTTTGTCCAATAAAAGATATTGCCCCATTTATCCTCTCTCTCTCTCTCTCATATCCTGGAACTAACATGGCTACAATACCACAAATGAATTAACAAAAAGAAAAGGAGTACTTGTGGCACCTTAGAGACTAACACATTTATTTGAGCATAAGCTTTCGTGAGCTACAGCTCACTTCAGCTCACAAAAGCTTATGCTCAAATAAATGTGTTAGTCTCTAAGGTGCCACAAGTCCTCCTCGTTCTTTTTGCAGATACAGACTAACACGGCTGCTACTCTGAAACAAATGAATTAGAGAGCTCATATTTAACTCCTTTAACTTGGAAAACAGACACAATTTGAAAGAAACTGGGTGGCACTGGAGGAGTGGAAACATCATGTGAAAGCATTTTAAACATAAAGTCTGAAACTTCGCATGGACTGGCATTATAATCTGTTGTCAGATAAGCCTTTTTTCCTTTTTTTCCAGATAATTTCCCCACCTTTAATAGACCAAATGTTTTCATTTTAGAAACAGTTCTCCCATATTTTTAAAATGTACAGTGGCACATACCCCCCTCACCCCAAAAGGTTATTTTCCAATTGTGCTTTTTTTCCACTTTCCCTTTGTCTCACTTACCAAATGATTTGTTTGAGATAGCTGATAGGCTTAATACATAGCCATTGAGCACTCCTCCCTGGAATTTTTTCAAGAGCATGAGCTGATGCTTCATTGGGAACTAATAGTCAACAGATGCACACAAGGGGTATATAGGTTTATTTAATAAAGTGGTAGATGGGGTATTTTTCATTGCGTGTAAGAAGTAACCTTATAACTGTTTGCTCATTTATTTACTCAGCTTTCCAGTCTAGTGATCACTTGACAGACCCTCCCTGCCACTCCCTCAGAACGCCTCATGAGAGCTTTGTTCTAACATGCTCTGACAAAAAACTTTTTTCTCTCCAACCCGGTATATTCTGTATATGTGAAGTATTATTAGTATCAATTCTTAGGGGTTTCAGAGTAACAGCCGTGTTAGTCTGTCTTTGCAAAAAGAAAAGGAGTACTTGTGGCACCTTAGAGACTAACCAATTTATTTGAGCATGAGCTTTCATGAGCTACAGCTCACTTCATCGGATGCATACCGTGGAAACTGCAGTAGACATTATATACACACAGAGACCATGAAACAATACCCCCTCCCACCCCACTGTCCTGCTGGTAATAGCTTATCTAAAGTGATCATCAAGTTGGGCCATTTCCAGCACAAATCCAAGTTTTCTCACCCTCCGCCCCCCCCCCCCAACTCACTCTCCTGCTGGTAATAGCCCATCCAAAGTGACCACTCTCTTCACAATGTGTATGATAATCAAGGTGGGTCATTTCCAGCACAAATCCAGGTTCTCTCACTCCCTCACCCCCCTCCAAAAAACCACACACACAAACTCACTCTCCTGCTGGTAATAGCTTATCGAAAGTGACCACTCTCCCTACAATGTGCATGATAATCAAGGTGGGCCAGCACAAATCCAGGTTTTCTCACCTGGATTTGTCAGCATATCTGACCCCTATTAATGATAGCTGGGCTTAGATGCAGGATAAATCATCCATGAACTAAACTGATGAGGAAATAAAACACTTAAGTACACCCCATCCTGAAATGTAAAGTGTCTTGTAATCCAACTGGGACTTTTGTCTAAAAGGAAGTCAGTTATATACAAAATAATTTTTACAGTTTTACTTTGATTTGCAAGCTTTTTGTTTTTTAACTAAATTTAAAAAATACAATGTCTATAAGTAAAATAGGGTTTTTTTTAAAGTCTCCAGTTGTGCATGTAGTTTGTATTCCTCAAATAACAAGGGTGCTGATCCCTGTTTAGCGGTAGTATCTCCTATAAGTGGTTTAAAAAAGAACAGACCAGGAGTGATAATGTATTATACCCACAGCTGTATTGAAAAGGACATAAACATGACAGTAAACAGTTAACCCTCTCATTTTTCTCTCTTCTTCCGAAAGTGTTAGCACCTATGGCCATGGAGATTGGTTCTATGGTTAAGGGTGGCCACATTATTCTTTAGTGTGTTATCTCTGGGTGTATGCATTTTACTGTGCTGGTGGTGGTGGTAAATTTGAGAGATTAGATTGGCAGCATAATAATAAATATAGGATTGTGTTCTTAATTTTTGTAAGTGCCTTGAGGCACAGGCAATGGGCATATGCCACTTTATAAATATTAATCGCTGATTATTATTATTGTACCATAGTAGCATCCACAAGCTCTAACATCTTTGCCTCATTGTGCTAGGCACTGTACATACACACAGTAAGAGATGAGATAGTCCCTGTCTTGAAGATCATGCGCTCTAAGCAGATAAGAAGGACAAAAGGTGAGAGACAGGAAGTAGTACTTTTCCCAGTTTACTGGTGGCTAACTGAGGCACAGAGAGGTTAAGGTATAGATGTTCAACGGTGCTCAACACCCACAATTGAGGCTAGATTCTCTAGAGCCAATACCAAGCAGCTTCATTTGAGAACAATGGGAGTTACTGCATGTGGAACACTTTTGGAAATCTAACCACTGCATTTAGGTGTCTAAATGTGAGCTGAGCTCTTTTGTAAATTAGGCCAAAAATAACTTGGCTAAAGTGACACAGAAAGTCTATGGCAGAGCTAGGAAGTGAACCCTATTTCCTGAATCCCAATCTTGTGCCTTAACAACAATACCATTCTGAACAAGTGTGACAGGGTCGGGCCAGATGGCTACAGGAGAGTGATAGAAGGCAGATATATTAGCCCCATGTTAAGTAGGTCCCTTTCTCCTGGGTAAGGTAACAGGGAAGGTTCCAGAACAATCAGGAACCTTCTGGAAACAATTAACACAGGCAGGCTGATTAGAACATCTGCAGCCAATCAAGAAGCTGTTGAATCAATTAAGGCAGGCTAATCAGGGCATCTGGGTTTAAAAAGGAGCTCACTTCAGTTTGTGGCGCATGTATGAGGAGCTGGGAGCAAGAGGCGCTAGGAGCGAGAATGCGTACTGTTTGAGGACTGAAGAGTACAAGCATTATCAGACACCAGGAGGAAGGTTCTATGGTGAGGATAAAGAAGGTGATGGGAGGAGGCCATGGGGAAGTAGTCCAGGGAGTTGTAGCTGTCGCACAGCTGTTCCAGGAGGCACTCTAGACAGCTGCATTCCACAGGGCCCTGGGCTGGAACCCAGAGCAGAGGGCAGCCCCGGGTTCCCCCCAAACCTCCCAACTCCTGGACAGACGCAGGAGGAGTTGACCTGGACTGTGGGTTCACGAAAATGGCCAAACTGAGGGCTGCCGTGAAGCTCCAAGGCGAGCAAATCTGCCAATAAGCGCAAGACCCACCAAGGAAGAGGAGGAACTTTGTCACACTAGTAAAGAGGGAAACTAGTGGGAGCTAAACCTGAACTATAGAAACTAATTTAATATACAATATGTAGAAGCAAGGACAGAAGGGAAAGAAAAGTCTCACCTGCCCCACCCCTTGTTAAATATTTATTATTCAAGCCATGAATTGAACACATGCATGCCAGAAAATTACAGCTA